TGCGCGGTTTGAGTCTCAAATCTAGCAACTTGCAAACCACACCAGGCACATGTGCATGTATGCCCAAAATTCTGAGAAGACTGGAGAAGGGTTTGCAGTGTGGCCATCCTCCTTTTGGGGGGTAACTTCTCACTTTCCCTGTCTCTCTCTGGTGAGCTCTCTCTTTTTTATAGCAAAAACTCAAACAAACAGAAAGGCAGTCACGGATCATGTGCCGTGTGAGGCCGTGGTGCTGCTCCGTGCACAGACAGGAGTTCGGCAAATGCAGGGGCTCATCCACTGCCCACTGTGTGCTCGTACATGTCCCACGTTGGCAGAGGGAACACCCAGGCCCTGGGAGGGCTCATCTGCCAGCTGCACTTTCTAACCCCACTGGCACCTCCGGCCCGACAGCCAGGCCTGGCCCTCTGTGGCCTCCATCCCAGGTGCTCTCTCAGGGAGCTGCCCCAGCTGGAGGTGGATTCCAGGGAGCTCCTACCCAACCCTTGCCCCCTGCCCAGCTTTTAGGGCACAGGTTCAGCACCTGAAGGTACTTGGTGAGTCTGGGGAGCTGGTTGGTGGTATAGGTAGGTCGGAGCCCCCATGGGGAGCCACTCAGCTTCCCAGGACCCCGGCTTCTGGCCTCAGACACTCCACATGGCACTCCCAGTCCCCGCTCCCTGAGAACCCGCCCAGCCTTACTAGCACAGGGGTCAGCTCCTTGGGGTTCCAGCTGCTTTCCTGATAACACATACTCTTGCCCTCGGAGGGACTTGGAGACCCTCACTTTGTCCCAGCCAGCCAGCCACTCATGGGGACCCTTTTGGGTGACTCTGAAAAGGATTCCAGGACAGCTGGCCCTGGTTAGCTTCACTCTCCAGGGCAGACTCACCTACCAGCTGGAGACTTGGGCAAGTGGCCTTGCCACACTGAGGCTGCCTCAGCCCCTGCCTCTCAGGAGGAACATGCCATCACTGTGCTGCACAGGCCCTTCAGAGGTGTCCCATAGGGCCAGCCCTGTGGCTAGTTAGTAAGGGTGTTAGATCCCGCATGACTGACCTCAGTTCAAATCTCAGCCCCAGTGACTTGAAAAACACGTGTGTGCCTGGAACCCCTACAAGATGGAGGGATGGAGGAAAGGGGACTGTGGCACCACCACAACCCACTGGGGGTGCTTTCTCCCCTCCTCTCTGCACCGTTCTTTGGTGGGTGCACACTCCCTCTTGAGTGTTAAAAAAGAAAAAAAAAATGGTTTGGGACCAGCAGATGGTGTAATGGTTGTGTTGCTGTACTCCTATGTAGTCAACCATGGTTTGAGTCCCAGACCCGGTGGCTTGAAACTCTCGCCAGGCACATGTGTGTGCATGCCCAGAATCCTGAGAGAATGGAGGAGAAGGGACTGTGGCATGGCCATTCCCTCTGGGGGGTGATTTCTCGCTTTCTGTCTCTTTGTCTCTCAGGCGAGTGCACACGCCCTATAGCAAAAATCTCTCTCTTAAAAAAAACATGTGATTTAGAAAAGAGAGTGAAGGAGAGAGAATTGCCCCACAGCGATGCTATCATGAAGTCCTCAAACCCTCTCTTTTTTTTTTTTGGAGAGATTTTTCACTGTAGGGTGTGTGCGCTCGCCAGACAGACAGAGAGAGACAGAGAGACAGAAAGCGAGAAATCACCCCCCAGGGGGGATGGTCACGCCGCAATCCCTTCTCCTCCATTCTCCTCTCGGGATCTTGGGCACGCACGCACACGCGCCCGGCGTGAGTTTTAAGCCACCGGGTCCGGGACACGAACCGTGGTCGACTGCGTGGGAGTCCAGTGACATAGCCATTACGCTAACTGCTGGTTCCCTCAAACCCTCTCTTCACACCTCTCTGCAGAGAGGTGGTCAGGCCTGCTGCTCTATTTCCAGCAGATTACAGCTTTTTTAGCAAATATTTGTTATGTGAATGGAGTGAATGAGTGTGTGAATAACCCACTGCTCTGGGGCAGGTGGGGCACAGTGGTAATGCAACTGGGCCACCATGGAAAGGTCCCAGGTCCACATCTTGAGGTCTCCCTGAACACCCCAGCATGCCATAGCACCCCAGTGATCTGCCAGCTGAAACTTGGGGGTTGATCACTGTGTGAAGACCCTGTTAAGCATGGCTCTTTGTCTGTCTCTATCTCTCAGAAGAAAGAAAGAAACTTAATAATCATAATCTACAGCCCAAGAACGGGGGGGAGGGGGAAATCCGGGCACACCCTCCCTGGGTCAGCGAGGCTGGGGAAGTGGCACCTGCTCCAGGAGCAGCGCTGGGGCTGTCAGGCCTGCTTAGGCTACAGCCTGTTATTGGTGTGGTCAGTGGGCTGGACGCTCCCCGCCATGTGGCTGTCAGGGTCCCTCACTGCTCGTCTGTAATGGTCCCTGGCTGTTATGTACTTCCTGCACCCAGCGGACTTCATTACCCGCCCTGCGTGGCCTCTGTGATGAGAGCTATGGAAGAGGGGGGAAGCTTGGGAGAACGGCCCAAAGAGCCAGGCACCAGCCAGCTGCCTCGGCCGTTGTTGCTGGCTAGGCTGGGGTTCCTGCCTACCGGCTTTCAGCTGCGTCCCCACTTCCTGCCGCCTGTCCAAGTCCCGGCCATCTCTACAGGATCAAGTGTCACGCAACTCTTAGTATTGCAGGGACATATCCTCCGACTGAAGGCGTCAGAGAGGTCTTCGAGCCCAGCGGCCCACAGCCTGCAGGATGCTGTCGGCCTGGAGGGCGTCGTCCGGCCTCGGTGTGGACACAGCGGATGCTCTCTCTTCCCACAGGCGGCAAGGCACTTCTAGCAGGCCTACAGCAGAACGGCTACTTCCTGCAAAGCTCCGCCTTTGAATAAATTCAGCTGAAAGGTGTATTTTGTGTGTTTTTGTGCGTGTAACATATCCTTTATAGTTAACATTTACATTTTAAAATTTTTGTCATAGGGCGTGTGTGCTCACTGGAGAGGAGAGACAGGGAGACAGAGAGAGAAAGTGAGAAATCACCCCACAAGGGCAGTGGTCAAGCCACAACCCCTTCTCCTCCCTTCTCTTGAGATTTGGGGCACACATGCACACGTGCCCAGTGTGATTTTCAAGCTGGGTTCAGGACTCAGACTGTAGTTGGCCATGTGAGAGTCCAGTGCCTTAACAACCACACCACCTGCTGGCTCCAGCACTTAAATTATTTTAAATACTATACTTTTGAAAATAATTTAAGTATCTTAGGTTACTTATCTTGCTTTTTTTTTTCCCATTTCTTTAACGTACATTAATGAGAATGATATCCAAGATTCAAGATTAGATCTTTGTTTTTCTTTTTTAAGTGGACCACTGATTTTTAACTGAATTTTAAATTTTAAGTTTTTATTTTATTTTTATTTTTTGAGAGGTTTTTGCAATAGGGCACGTGTGCTCGCCAGACAGACAGAGAGAGACAGAGAGACAGAAAGCGAGAAATCATCCCCCAGGGGGATAGCCACGTTGCAATCCCTTCTCCTCCATTCTCCTTTCAGGGTCTTGGACATGCACGCACACGTGCCCAGCGTGAGTTTAAGCTACTGGGTCCAGGACTCGAACCATGGTCGACTACATGGGAGTCCAGCGACACAGCCATTACACTAACTGCTGGTCCCTAATTTTAAACTTTTTTTTAAAAGACAAAGACAAGGGCCCAGCAGGTAGCATAGCGGTTAAGGTCCTGGATTCCCACATGGCCAACTCCATGGTTTGAGTCTCAGCAGCTTAAAAATCATACCATGCATGTGTGCGTGCATGCCCAAAGTCCCAAGAGGAGAATGAATATGGTGTGGCCATCCCCCATGTGGGGGGGGGCGATTTCTCATTTTCCCTTTTATGTCTCCCTGGTGAGTGCTTACACCCTATTGGAAACACCAAACCAAACCAACAAGCAAAGGTGAATTGCTCTACCTCCCAGGGGAGATGGCCACACTGCAATCCCTTCTCCTCTTGGGTTTTGGGCACTCACACACATGCACCCAGAGTGAGTTTCAAGCCTCCAGGTCCTGTACCTGAACCACGGTCTGCTATGTGGGAGTCTAGCAACGTAACCATTACACCATCTACTTCATTGTACACCATCTACTTCATGTCCCGCCCTTTGAGATTAGACACTATGACACGTTGTCCTCCCTGGAGTAGACCCTTGGTGTTCATACTCGTCAGAAAAGGCCACAGGACAGTGTGCTACACGATGGCCCCAATGAACCATGGCTCCATATTTGCCCCTGGTAGAGTCCCCTCCGGTGCCTGGGAGCCTGTTACTGACTCTCACCAGCAGAATGCAGCAGAAGTGTTCCATGCCACTTCTAGGACTGAGCTTCAAGAAGGCATCATACTTGGGGGAGCTTTTAGCTTCATCCATGGAAGACCAACTATTCTGCTGGAGAGACCTCATCCAGAGACTAGAGAGAGGGAACTGCCATCCCTAGTTTCAGCGGGGCCCAACTCTCAGCCTGCCAGTCAGATGAATGCAGCCATATTAATGCCCTGTCAAAGACTCGCCCCACTGAAACTAGCCCAGAGGCAGAATCGCGACCAAAGGAAATGCCAGCTCGTAATGGGTAAGCGAACTAGGCCAGAATATGGCACAGTACCAGCCTAGCCTGAAACCCAGTAGCGTAAGAGAACAACAGTAGCTGGCAGGAGGCACTAACGTCTTATAAACTCCATCATCCAGAAGAGGTGGTCTCCTTGGTGACCTAGATAGAGGAAGAGTGACTGGAGGGGTGAGTACCTCGGTGCCCATGTGACACACCTCATTTCCTCTCACATCTCATTGGTCAGAACTGGTCACATGGCCCTGACTCCCTGCAAGGGGCTGGAAGTAGGGGAAGAAATAGACTTCCTGGTGAGCATTTCTGTCTCTGCCACTCTTCGGGGACTTCCCCAAATTTTTAGATACATGTGAGTGACCCGGAAATGCGGTGATAAGCAGTAATTAGCAGCTTTGCTGAAGTAGAAAATTTTCCTGTTTTATTAAAGAAGTCATACACATGCTTGCTTCGGCGGCACATACACTAAAATTGGAATCATACAGGATTAGCATGGCCCCTGCACAAGGGTGACACACAAAATTATGAAGCAAAAAATGTCATATATATGCTTTGCAGTAATTCAAACCCAGAAGTACCTCAAGTAATAAATATTCCTTCCCACACCTGCCTTAAAACTGAACACTACATCAGCAGGTGGTGTGGTGGCTAAGGCACTAGATTCCCACATGGTCGACCACGGTGGTGGCTAAGGCACTAGATTCCCACATGGTCGACCACGGTTTGAGTCCCAGACCTGGCTGCTTACTTTCTCACTTTCTCTCTCTCTCTCTCTCTCTCTCTCTCTAGTCAAATTAAAACATAATAATTATAAGTAAAATCAAATGAGTTTTTTGTTTTGTTTTGTTTTTGTTTTTTAATCGCTGTATTCTACAAAGGTAACCACAAGTAAGAATTTGATGGATGCTGTTTCAGGTTTTTTCCCCCTAAGTTCCTCACAGATATGAATGCATATAAAACATTTTTTATTCAGACAAGTTTATTCTATACATACTGTTCTTTAGGTTGCTTTTATTATTTAATAAACTGTCACGGATGTTGTTTCATGTCAGTGCATGTAGGCTTACTCATATAATGGTTGTATGTTTTATAACATTAACATATAATAATTTGGTCCCCTATGGATGGATATTTAGGTTATTTTGGCTACTACAGATGCTGTCATAAACATATCTAAGCATGTAGCTTTCCACATTTATGAAATTATTCTTTTTTCAAAAAATGTATTTTTATTTTATTATTTTTTGAAGAGGTTTTTGTTATAGTACATGTGTGCTCATCAAACAGACAGACAGAGACAGAGAGACAGAAAGCGAGAAATCACTCCCCGGGGGGATGGCCACGCTGCGATCCCTTCTCCTCCATCCTCCTCTCGGGATCTTGGGCACGCACGCACACGCGCCCGGCGTGAGTTTAAGCTACTGGGTCCGGGACGTGAATCACAGTCGACTACATGGGAATCCAGTGACATAGCCATTATGCCAACTGCTAGTCCCAACATTTTTATTTATTTTAATTTACATTTTATCATGTCTTTACAGTATACATTTCTTTTTCCAACTTGTCAGTCAAGATAAAAACCGTGCATGTCAGTCAAGACAAGAATATTACTATATACATTATCATCAGCAAATAGCTTCTCATTTTTTTGTCCATTAAGCATACTTTTACCCATTTTTTCCTTCCCCTTTCCCCTCCCTCCCTTCCATACTCAACTTTTTTTTTTCAGTTAATCTCAATTTGGTTTATTATTTGCACGAAGCCCCATAAGAATTCAATTTCTGATGGAAGGCAACAGGTACTATTGTATTATTGAACTTACGCAAATAACCATCCTGCCACAAAATAAGAATGCTCACGAATATTTTCCAATTGTCAAGGGGTCAGGAAGGGAGAAAAGTTTATGTTTCAATTTTTAAAATTCTTTAACAAATTGCTGATCCCAACAACTCAAAATAAAACAAAAATCCTTAAATCTGGAAGACAAAGCCTAGAAGAAAATCTGTACTGTTTTAGAAAAAAGTCATAGAATTCAGGGGCTGGCAAGTGGCATGGTGGTTAGAGGTGCTGGACTCCCACATGGCCGACCACAGTTCAAGTCTCAGACCTGGTGGCTTGCTTTCTCACTTCCTCTTTCTCTCTCTCTCTGTCTCTCTCTGATCAAGCTGGAAAATAATAATGACAATAATAATAAATAAAGTTAAATAAAATAATTATAAAAAAAGAAAAAAGTCATAGAATTCTGTTTCAACAGTTCAGTCTCGTGCCATCTCTTCTGTTGAATTTGCAGTGTTACTGTGGTCTAATCTTTCCGTTAACATTCAACATTATTATTATTTCAGAATTTGCCCCTACCACTAAGTTGGCGTTTCTCTTGGTCATTTTTTGTTCTCTTATTTGTCTGTCTTAGTTTTCCTGGTATAGTACTCCCTTCAGAACTTCTCAAAGAGCTGGTCTGGTGTTGGTAAATTCTTTCAGTGTTTGTTTATCTGAGAATGTTTTTTATCTTTTCTTCCCACATGAAGGATAATCTTTTTAAAAAAGAATTATTTTTTATTTAGCTTTATTTATTTGTTAATTTTTTATTTCAATTTGACCAGAGAGGGACAGAGAGAGAGAGAGAGGGAAAGTGAGAAAGCAAGCCACCAGATTCGGGACTCAAACCACAGTTGGCCATGTGGGAATCCAGCGCCCCTAACCACCACACCACCGGCCAGCCCCAACACATGAAGGATAATCTTGCCAGATACAGTATTTTTGGTTGAAATTGTTTTCACTTAACACTTTGAATGTATTTTCCCATTCTTCCCTTGCTTTCACTGTTTCCGATAAGAGGGTCAATGTTAGCCTGATGGGATGGATATCTTTTGAAAGTAACTTGACGTTTGTCTCTTGCCAATTTTTAGTATCTTATCTCTGTCTGTTGCTTTAGTCAATCTGGCTATGATGTGCCTTGGAGAAAATCTTCTTGGGTTGATTCTATGTGGGATCCTTTGTATTTCCTGGGTCTAGAAATTTGAATACCTCTCTAGGTTTAGAAAGTTTTCTTCCAGGATTCCATGGAATAGATTAGCAATGCCCTGATTAGTTTCTTCACCTTCTGGGATACCAATTATCTGGACGTCTGGGCGTCTAATGGTGTCTAGTATTATTCGTATGTTATTCTCATTTTCGTGGCTTATTTTCTTGGTCTTTTTGGTGAATTTTTCTGGGTCAGAGGTTCTATTTTCTACATCTGAGATTTGATCTTCTGCATGATCTAATCTGCTTTTAATCGTGCAAGAACTTCCTCACGCCCTGGAACTCAGTGTCTCTTTTCTCCTGCATCTTTTGGAGTTTGTTGTCTCTCTTCTCTCACATCTCTGTTAGCTTGGTCACTACGACTATCCTAAATTCTTTATCTGACATTTCCAGGAGTTCCATCGTACTGTCGGTGGATGGTGAAGGGCTGTTCTTTCCCCTTTGGGGAGAGATATTTTCTTGATTTGCCATATTTCTTGTGCCTCTGCGGTGGGGTTTCTGGTCATCCAATGGATTATATGTTACTTCCTACTTCTGGCTTTTCGCTGGGTGTTGGGCCGGAAGGAGAGGTTTGGGGCAGAGGCTTTTTCCAGTTAAAGGGGCAGGGAAAGCCCACCTCAGATGCACATGATTCTGGCTTTTCGCTGGCTGTTGGTATGAAAATATTCTTAAAGGTTAATTCTTGAAAATGAGTTTCCTAGGTAAAAAAGCAGTCACACTGGGACCAGGACCAGCAGATAGCGTCACAGTTACATCACTGGACTCCCACGCAGCCAACTATGGTTCAAGTCCCAGACCCAGTGGCTTAAAAGTCACATCGGGTATATGTGTGTGCATGCCCAGAGTCCTGAGAAAAGAATGGAGGAGAAGGGATTGCAGTGTGGCCATTCTCCTCCACCTGGGGAGGGGGGTGATTTCTTGCTTTCTGTGTCTCTGTCTCTCCAGCAAGTGCATGTGACCTATAGCAGAAATTTCTTATAAAAAGAAAAAAAAAAAAGCAGATACATTAACCATTTCTATAAATACTACCAAATAGCTCTCCAAAAAGGGTGTACAAAGCTTGTACTACTATTTTTTTTTTTTTTGGAGAGGTTTTCACCATAGGGCGCACGAACTCGCCAGAACAGACAGAGAGAGACATAGAGACAGAAAGCGAGAAATCACCCCCCAGGGGAGATGGCCATGCTGCAATCCCTTGTCCTCCATTCTCCTCTCGGGATCTTGGGCACGCATGCACACGCACCCAGCATGGGTTTTAAGCCACCGGGTCCGGGACGCAAACCGCAGTCGACTACGTCCAGCGACATAGCCATTACGCTAACTGCTGGTTCCCAAAGCTTGTACTACTGCTGAGAACCTAAATATATTTTTATTAAAAACATTTTTAATAGTAAACTTTTAAATTTTTATTTAATTTTACTCATTTTTATTATTGTTATTTTAAAATTTGTTACAGGGTACATGTGCTCACCAGAGAGAGACAGAGAGAAAGTGAGAAAGCAAGCCACCAGGTCCAGACTGAGTAGCTTGAAACTCAGGCTGGGTGTGTGTGCGTGCCCAAGATCCCAGGAGGAGAATGGAGGAGAAGGGATTGTAGCATGGCCATCCCCCCGGAGGGTGACTTCTCACTCTCCCTCTCTCTGTCTCTCTGTCTCTCTATCGCTGGCAAGTGCACATGCCTGATGGCAAAAACAAACAAAACATGCCCACCAATTACTTGATGCCTCCCCCACAAACGCGCACATCACTTGGTCTTCAGGCCACGGCCATGAGAAGTGTTGCTTGGCCACAGGTTGGAGCAGAAAGGAATTCTTCCAGAGGGAAACAGAATTAGCCCCAGGCTGTCCCTCAGGCCTGAGGTGACAGCTTGCTTTAGGCTGGTAATCCACCATGAAGGGCCGCATTTCACACTGGCTGCTCTGGAAGAGGCCTGCGGGAATTGCTCCTGGAGAGTGAAAATTGGACCTCGTCAGGGTCATTTGTCCCTTTTACCACACACACTTCAGGGCCAGGGCTGGGGCTGAGCCATGGTGGCTGCGATCACAGCTGGCCTCAGAGATCGGGTGTGGCCTCTTTCTCCTGGTGCAAGTGGGCTTGGCCAGCGGGACCGCAAACCTGGCTGCCTAGAAGCGCCTCCTGCCTGCCGGACTTGTCCTCAGGTCCACGGGCTGATGGCAGCAGTGGTATGAGACATGGCATCTCCCCTGTCACTTGCCTGTGGACAGAAGTTCATCACGTTACAGGAAGCCAGAGACACTTCGCCTGTGGTTTGTGCTTCTGGGGCCTGTTTAAGAAGTGCATTCCTTCCCGTGTGTCCCCGTGATGTTCTCCCAAGTTCTCTTTTCCTTTCCTTTTCTTTCTTTTCTTTTCCTTTCTCTCTCTTTTTTTTTTTTTTTTTGGCTATAGGGTGCATGTGCTCACCAGAAAGACTGAGAAAGACAGAAAGTGAGAAGTCCCCCCCCCCTCCGGGGGCATGGCCACAGTGCAATCCCCTTCTTCTCCATTCTCCTCTTGAGATTTTGG